TCCACTCGAAATGCAAGTAAGCTCAACAATTAAGAAACAAGAGATTCGTATATAAGAATATCTTTTTGAAAAGTGGTATTGTGACATTCAATGGATACGTAAGGTCTACTCGTATAATCGTGGAAAAATTCAGCCATCAATTTCCTTAGCACCTTAAACTAAATATAGTAAATAAATCTCATCCAATAGTAGTCTTGAAATCCTGCTAGTAAAAAAATGACAAATAAGTTCTTAATCTCTTAAAAAAGCCTAATATATATATCTCCTCACACATCTTCTGCGGTGATAAATGGCAGATCATCTCCCAGAAGTTGAGTGGGAAGACTGAACTTGCTCTGAAACGTCTCGGCCATTAAGGCGCAGAGTGCTCTCAATACCAGGCAGTCTGAAATGCCGGAGGTAAGAAGTTGAAATGCCTTATATCCATGCTTGGCGTCTTGCTCATCTTTGCATTCCGACCCATTTCGAGACTGCGAATCTCTTGAATAAATCGGAAAGCTCAACAACGAGGCGTTTTCAGCTCGACGCATCAGTTCATTCAACTGGGCGGCCAAATGGCCGCCTCCAAGATTTGACCAACAGAGCTGGCTCTCGAGGCTGAGCATGTCTTTGTCTCCGATTTGCTCGGTCTCTTTCGCCTCCGCCTCCTGTAGATTGCAATCAGGGACGGCCGGTTGACCGGCAAAGAAACAGAGGATTAGACGAATAAACATGCGTACAGGTTGAAAAAAGACCGACAAAGTTGTAGAGCTGCTCTTCTGCCGCTCTCTGTACTCAGTGTCTCGGACTTCTGAAGCGGCCGAACTACCGCCTGTAGGCGGCGGAGGAGAATGGAGACGCCTCTTCTGAGGCAACGCATCGGGTCGAGCTGAGCCAGAAGATTCAGTCTTACGTGAACAGCCGGTCGGAGTCCCAGAAACAGATTGGGCTTCGCTCCAAACTGATGTGCCGTCTAGAAGATCAGCTTCCATCAGCGCCAAAATAACAGGCAGCAAGACATCCACTAGGAGGGAGGATAGACTACGGACGGACTGATAAAAAAGGCAAATAAACAAGCAAATGTTTAATATTTTTTGTCTATAATTACGTTTTCACGACTACTAGTACGTCTTATATTAAAGTTTAATTCATCCTATATCATTTAAGGGAACAAGAGATTGGTAGTTGAATTTTTCCACAATGAAATGTGAACTTGACAGCATTGTTTGCTAGGAGTTATTCTCTTCCAGTTTGTACCTCGCCTAGATCTCATCAGCACCCTTAGCGGGATTCGAACCGCGTTGGTGTGGCAAAAAATCTCGAGCTTCTGGACCTCAGAGAAGCCGACAATTTTATGGAAAACGTAAACTCAAAATATTAATTATATTTCGTAAATATGTCGACCAAGATGGTGTGGCCTTATTTTTAGTCGCAGTCTCCTTTAGCTTTATAGTGTTGGTTCGATCTTGCTTTCGCAACTCAGTCAGGGCGTCAGGGAGACCTTGTGTATTCGTGATCTCCAGCATTGGACAATTGGCTGGGTACCTGCCAAACGTTCGCCGGCATCGTCAGTGAGACGCATCATCGCAAGCACAGAGTGACAAGTTATCGAAGTGACAAGTAAAAGCAATTGCCTTGATACTGGCCTACCTTTCATTTCGTTTGAGAAAGCGGGTCGAAGTGGTTCGTAGATTGGCTTCTACGGATATCGCAGGAGGATTAGCCTGGACTTGTGTCTTTTGAATTGTGTGAAGAAGATCTCGGCTCAGCGTCTTGCGATCCCGATGACTTCGCCCGTCCTGTGACTGACATCGGCAGAGCCAGAAACCATTATCCACGAGAAACCACTAAAAAAGACTAATCCAAAAAAGCTGGCCAGCTGAGATCCGACATGCTTCTTTTACCTCAATTTGCGATCTTGATGAGGCATTGCATGATTTGGTTGGCTGACGTATGCTCGTCAAAGTGGTACAGGCAGGGGAGCGGATCTGGTCACAACTTTTGTCAATGTAAATAAAATAGAGTATGATCCGGTTGTCCTGGGTCTTGTTACGGCTTCGTGGATTCATGTTTGCGCGTGCATGCAACAACCCCGAATTAGTTGACAATTTTAAGTTCAAAAACAAGCTTTAGTTTAGTCAGGTCTCCTCTTACTCAGTGCCTCATCCTGTTCGTTGTCCTTCTCTCTCTCCCGCTCTTTCATTCTATTTGGAAGCCAGAGATAGTTCTTACTTTGCTTTCCACATTCATTGCTCTCATTCAGGATGTTGTTTGTCGTGTTAATTTCAATCAACTCCCTAATCTTCCGCTTGGCTTTTAAATCTCCATATCCGGCAAACCCTTTGGGTTTAGGCAACTCTATCTGGTGTCCTGTAGCGATCACATGTTTAGCCACTTCCGATTTCTGAATTCATAAAACTTTGCAGTCGGTTCTGTGTTCTGATAGCCTCTTAGGCATAAGTCGACCAGTCTCCCCACATAAACACTACCACATGAGTACAAAACTTTATAACAACCCGATCTGCAGAGGGCGTCAGAAGATCCTCTAAAAGGAGGCGTGATCGAGGAAAGCGTTTATGTTTCTTTATATCTTGTCTTGACATTCTATTTCCTTAAGAATTCGCCTATCTTTTTTAAAAGATTGCAGGATGTCAGCATTAGGAACCTGTCGAAGAGTTGTCTAAGTCCTTGTTTTGGTCAAAATAATGGTTTTTCTTCACCCAATTTCTTAATATTTTGAAATTGTTCTCAAATAACATTTTTCTTAGCCTTTCTAGCTCATGTACTTGATGATTTACGCTCGCTAGGCGTTAACTAGTTAATATCATTGATTTCATTACGCCTACCTTGACACCATGAGTATGATTCGAGAAGAAATTAAGAAGGAAATCAGCATTTCTGGGTTTCCTATATACATCTCTACCCACTTTACTTTCTTTTTCAATAACTATAACATCTAAAATGGATAACTTATTGCCTTTTTGTAACTCCATAGTGAATTTAGTGGCCTTATCTACTCTATTAATAAAACTAGTAATTCCCAAACTGTGCGCCGCGGCGCACCGGGGAGCCTAATCAAATTAGGAGAAAACAGGGCTGCAACAAGACAAGCTAAAAGGAGACGCATAGATCAAGGATCTATCGTAAACTGGAGGAACAGGTGATTGCAAGGAAGTTTCGGAAATAAAGCCAAGATGTGCTCAGGGAGTGCAGTCAGCTCGGAGAAACAATTACATCTTTCGAGCCTGACGTTTCACGTGACTAGGGAGAGGGATTGTGTTATGGAGATTTGGCATTATGACCAAATTGACTAATAATCCACTCCAGATGCAGCAGGCGACCAGAGATAGACGTCCACAAATTGCTCAGGATACACGGGTTTTGACTTGCTAGCTTGAATTTGATTGTAAGGATGATACCTTGCTATGATGATCTTCGTCATACGACGGGCGAAAGATTAGCACGTTTTCACCGAAATCGAAGAAGATTACCTCGAAAACATCGTCAACAAGAATGTTTGGCAGCTGGACAAGAGGAATCTGCCGTCATCTTCTGGTAGGATCGGCCGTCGAATCACTTAAGCAAACACTTTCCCTCCAAATAAATGTAAGCTCAACAATCAGGAAACAATAGCTACCTCGAAACCCAACTTTTCTTCGCATATACTACACGGTTTTAACTAAGAAGATGATGAGTTATGACAATGTCTAATATCCGCAAACATGTTAATCAGAGCCTAGTGGCTCTGCATATGAGGCGAATTTGTACGTGCTACTAAAGGCTTGAGAAGTAGTATCTAGCGCAACGGTACACTTTGGCTCGATCCGAGTGAAATGGGTCAACCAGAAAGAGAAGCAACAGACCTAAGTGGCCATGAGCCAGATCCGGAGAGGAGGTTCGAGTCGGATCAGCCACTCGAAAGTGAGGGGAGCAAGGCAAACAGCAGGTGTGATGACGTCATGGTAAATCCGACAAGAGGACACACCTCTTGTGGAACAGAAACATGTCAGAGGGTAGGAAATGGATAGAGGGACTAGGACAGAACGAGGAGTAACAGAACAACAGTTTCTACAGAAAGTTGGTTAAGGGGTTGACTTGACTTGTCTCTAAAACGATTGTAGTTTGGTGCTGAGAATGGCAAGTATTAATGACGATGCCGGCGAAAAGTCTGGGAATGTACCAAGTCCAAGTCCGCTTAAAATGATCATACACACAATGGACTCAGGACTAGGTGCATTCCTCTAAGTCTTCCTACCAATATGGCCAAGTTGCGAAAAGAAGGTCAAACAACTTGATCTATAATTGGTGTTTGCCGAAATAATTTGCATTACTAATACACAGTATGAGTCAATTTGGACATGGTACATACCTCACTGAATGTTGGCAGTGGGATGGGCAGTCCGATTGCAGTTCCCACGGCACCCAACCAATTATCCGAGACTGTAGAGAGACCTGCTGTCTGCAGATCATCGGTTGCGTAAACTGGCCCGATCGGGTTGAGCAATGGTCCGTGTGTGGAAGTGGCGAAGACGGGCGCCTGAAGCAGCAGAGTGAGGTGAGCAGCCCAAGTTCCATCTTCCCTTTCGTCGACAACTGAAGCCTTAACGCCGTGATCACGAATACCGCTACGTATGCCGGGACCAGTAACGTGTTTGCGACGCTCAGAATTTGACTGACTTAAGTTGGAGGTCGTCATTTCGAGGTCCATTGACTCTGACAAAGTTTGTCTTGGCTCTGCCAGTCTGACACGCGAAAAAGTGGTTAAAAGTCTGTCTTGAAGTAGGCTTGTTAACGCATCAATAAGCGTAAATGGCATGGAGTTGGGCGAGTCAAGAGCGACGCAAGACGAGACGGAGAAGGGCAATGAGGGACTGTGGGAAGAAGAGTGGGAAGAGGAGGGGGAAGATGAAGACGATCGCGGAGTGGTTGGCGATGTGAGGTGACTGAATTCAGGCTGAATGTAGGAGACATCCGGGACCATGTAACGGAGACAATCAAGGAGACTGGGATTGCTCATCCCCACGGGGGCAACTTCAGGATCTGTGATTAAATTAAAAATGCATCTCAAATAATTTTATTTAAATAAGGCGTTAAAAAAATGTTGTAAAAGCAATGCAAGAAATCAAAAGTGTATGGTTGAAATAATAATAAGTATTCTAATCATTACAGGTCGAATTTAATAAAGGACTAATAGTCGAATTGTTCAATAATCATCTGAATAGGCCTAAAGTTTCCATTGAATTTCGTTTAACCTTGCTTCCCAAAATTTATCATCATTCAAGACGAACTGCAGTTTCGATCTTGCCTAGGTAACATCAGTACATATAAAAGGAATCGAAACCATGTTGTGGTAGTGCAGGACATAGTTTAGCCATGCCTCTGAGTCACAACGTTAGGTCTCTAGTGTATCACATTTATAATTGGATTCCCGATTATGCAAACTTATATTTTAACATAACAATCGACTTAATTACTTATAATAATAGAAGTCGGTTTCGAGAGTATTAGTAAATCTTCAATAGGAGTTATATTTAAATCCCGGACCATCTCTGAATTCTAAC